TTTTAAACTTATACTCACCATTTTCTTTGAAAGTATATGTGAGTTCCACAAAAAAAAATGAATTGACTTACAAAAAACAAGATGTCAGAGAAAAAAGATGGTTTGTCGCAAAAGCAGAAAAGAGTGTAAGAAGAAAAGGTTTCTAGATAATTTGAAATTCTTTTTATGGAAATCGTAACATGACTGCTCTAATTCCAGCTTGTGTGTCGATAAGATTTTGTTGCTAAGTATTCATCGGAAAAAAATGAAAAAAAAACGTTCGCCAGCCAGCTTCGTATAATGTAACGAAGAAAGGGAAAAGACTAAAACTTATCTCCAATATATTTTATGATTGGGAGTGATGGGAAAATGTCATGGATGTACAGCATTATTTTCTTGTTAAATGTGAACGTTAAGTTCAATGTTTAGTCTTGTATGTTTTTGTCTCATTTCATGTACAGAGAAAAATAGGCATCTTAGAAATTTTAATATCAAAGTAAATTTACCTTAGAAGTTTAATGAGGACGAAAATAATTCAGGTAAACTTTATTTTGTGTTAGTTTGCTTCACTGCTTAATAAAAATTAATAATTTAACATTATTTTCGCATCCAAATGAGACATCCATGTCGAGGCACCAAATATTTTTGTAAAAAAATGTTACTCATTATTTTCAATGGCAACAAACAAGAGTATATTCTAGAAAAAAAATCGATGAAAGACCTATTTTAAAAAATTTAAGCACTTTTGAAGATTATGGAATGATCAAAGATACGTTCAATCTTGGATTGTTCTCTTTCCATAAAAGAAAGAACTTTATTTTTTACCAAGAATACTTTTTATCATTTTACACAATTGCACAAATGTCACATTCTAATCATATATTATCAGAATGTGTCAAAACGGATCTTTGAACTACATTAACCGAATCATTTTCTCGAAAACTATAGAAGTCCTCGTCTTAAACGAAGTTAATATATTTTAAATATTTATTTGGGGTTACAAAGGTGCATCATGAAAGAAGTGAAAGCTTTAATTTATATTTAATCATGGCATATAAATAAATCAAGAATAATAGCAGTTGCACCTAAATATAGTTTATATTTCATATGCGTATGTTTGTAGTTACTTAAATGTACGATAATCAATTTATCAAAAAATAAAAATCAATAAAAACAAGAGGGCCAATAAGTTACTTTTGCGAAGCATAGTTGGTTTGTAAACAATATGTGATTCCAAAAACGTAATGCACTTACCATATGAAGTAATCAATAATTCAATAGCTAACAGCTTCTCATGAACCAATAAAAATTATGGCTGTCTGTTGTCTCCATCTTTGTTCGCTGAAGTCTAGGGGAAAATGAAGTTCCATTGCATGATACGCTTCGTCTTATTTTCATACTATGTAGTATATTACAAAAAGTTTGCATAGTTCAAAGGATAAAATGGATATTTTTTGTGTAGTATTCGTTATTTTTGGCAAAACGAATGTTCAACTGTAAGAAAATTAACCATACATCTTGAGGGTGATGCTTTCTTTTGTCATTCGAATAAATCTACTCGAAATATTAGCTAACGATAGAATAGCAGCTAAATTGAAATAAAAATTAGTAAATATCACAATAATTGACACAAAGGCACATTCGGAATGCCAAGAATAAATTCGGTCGAGCATAAGAATTATTTGGAAATACAAATGCCACTCTTAATCAACAAAATCCTATCGTTGTGGGCTGCGATTCGACCTATATTTCCTATAATTCCTTTGTTTTCAAAAACGTCCTATATTTTCTTAAAAATTCTTATTTTTCCTATATTTTATCGAAAAAAAATAGAAAATTTCCAAAAATCTCTTCATTTTTCTATTGTCTTCAGACGAAAAATAATCTTTTAATGTGTATAATCATGTGTTTTGGACAAATTCTTGTATTATAGTGACATTTGTTTTAAACAGTGTCTTTCCTTTCGCCTATTTAGTGGGTTGACTGAGAAATTGTTTAATACTAAGACTAAGCACAAAATACAAAATAGTTCAAAAAAGAAAAATATTCACAAAGTGATCATGTACTAGTTTCGGGTTTTTAGTGAAGTTTTAGTTAGATATAAAAGCTGTATATATACGCCCCTGGGAAAAAAGCTTCACTCTGTATTTTGAGGATATGGTTACCAAAAGAAAATATTTTTTTAAAAGTAACGACATATTCTGAAAGCCCGTCAAATTTTACACCATCCTATGTACATGCATTTTTCATTTATCCTTATTTATTACCAGAAAGAATTGAGTTATGATAAAATACAAAATAAACCTGTGGAAAATAATAAGCGATGAATGCTGATTAACAGAACAATAAAATTAGGCTGAGATTTTTTTTGGGAACTCATGTCCGTAATCTGAAATGTCTCTTTTTATTATGAGAAATAGCATTTGTTTTTTCAAAGCTTATGGTCTACTTTATTGTTATTTATCAATTTGTGAAAAAATTTTATAATGATCCTCGAATTAGCGACTTATTTCAGTAGAAAAAATTACATAAGGATTTTGGCTACGGTTGAACTGTTGATAACAACTTCATTAAAACGATTTTCGAGTAGAGCAGTTAAAAAACAGCAAAACAATTCAGCAGAAACTATGTATAAAACATCCTATATTTTTGTCATTTTTTATCGAAAATCCTATACTTTTAACAATCTTGATCCTCTAAGGATTCCTATATTTTTAAAAAAGTGCAATCGGAGGCCAGGATGAGACATATACTATGAGGATTCAATAGCTTGCAGTTACTGAGAATTGGAAAAAAAGTGTTGTTTTTCTTTGGACAATGAAATATATATAGAGTATTTTTTCCGCTAAACAACGAGTCTTGTCGGATGTATTATAAAATCGAAGCAAATTACAACGTTTTCATTTTCCAGTCGGTTAACAAGGAAGTGTTGTATCATTAGTGAAAACGGAAATGTATCTATTCAGGGTCTTAGTCGCAGGGTAAGTTTTCTTACTTATGTTAATGACTTTTGTAATATGAATCAATCAAACTTCAGTTTTATATGAAAGACATTTTTGCATTCGATAAGCTGTATGCTAGTAAATGAATAACTATACAGAAATGTTGTACAGAAGCAGAACTGAAGAATACGATAATGAAATTATTCCATGTTTTTAAGAAGCATTTTATGGAAAACTATTGAAAAAATTGTCTTTCATATCTTATGAATCATTTTTGCCTGTTAACAATGAATAAATTGAAAATTTTCATTTTTAAAGAGCAATCTAAAACATTTGTCCAGTACATAGAAATATGATGAAAGTCAATCAATGTCATCGATTCGACGTGAAATACGTAGAAATTCATGAATTTCTACACTTGCAGTTTTCAAGAAAGTGAGTAGAATAAACAAATTTCAATTTTTTAATCATGGACAAGGACGAATTATTGATAAGATACTGAAAGAAGAATTTTACAATAATTTTCTATAGTATACTGATTTTAAAAGAAAAGATCTAACAATATCGATTGTGTCGTATTCATCAGCTTAACATATTTTCCTGTACCAAATTGAGAATCAGATGCACCATCTTTTAAATAAAATATAAGTTTTATTAATGTGTGTCGTGAAAACTATTAACAAAATTCTGCAAGATCTATACTTGCTAAGTTGTCAAATGAACTTTTGCAATTCATAATGACAGAAAGAAATTAGCAATTAAATTGATAAGAACACTCTTTTTTTAATCATTTTTACCTGCCAAGAATACTTTATAACAGAGAAACTTCTTTATGAATATTAAAATAGTGCTCATGCTTCTAGCTCAGAGACAGAGCCTCTAATAATTAGAGTATTTTCATGTAATTGTTTTCTTTATAGTATATTAGATAAATTATTTTAACATATTAAATTGTTTCCTTTTCTAGAAATAATCATTTGAACTGAAAAGTTCTATATGAATTCACTGACATAGACTACAGTTAATAGATCATTATGTACTTCTTTTTTTTCCTATCAGAATATTATTAAGATATTATTTTTCTCGTTCTTTTTACATCTAGCTTCAAGATAGAATTTAATCATTGAGTGCAATACTCATGGACTACGATATGAAAAGTTTCTTTTATCGTCAAGTTCGACCTCGATATCAACAAGGCCATAACAAACAAGCCGACACGCCGCCAATGATAGGCTTCAATACAAGATAAATATCATTGAATGACTGTTTTTCTTGTCAAATATATCGTATATTTTTATGTTTTACTTTACTTTACATTTTGATGGATTAATTTAACGGTTGACATTCTTCGTTAGTTTCATATTGTCTTGAAATCGATTCTTTTAAGAAATTTCATTGCTCATGTTTGTATTTTAGCTATTGATTTTGCAAAAAAAACTGCATAAAAAACATAAGCAAACGCGTATTAATGTAAAAAGATGCATCTAATTATTTTAGTTATAATTTAGGATTTGCACAAGGCAACCTTCACGATGAAAATGTTTCATAATCTAGACGTTATAAACAAAAAAGAAATGTTTGGAACAGGCAGTTAGACATAGAGAGTTAGGTCAAGCATTATAATAATAACAAAGTTTGTGTTATATTCTATATCGGAACTACATTTAGTTTCAAGCATAACTAAGAAATATTTGCTCTTTTCCCCTCTGTCAAGAACTTTTTATGTAATACGACAGTACTCACTAAGAAAAATGTTAGTATTCGTGAATACTTGCACTTGGGTATCTATTAAAATCATTCAGTCTGTCTCTAAATAGATAAGCTGTGTGAGTACACAATGAAAATTCCGATGACATAGTCAAGTATGTGGACATATGATGATCATCGGGTCGACAATCATGATAATTGGCTTAAGAATGATAATGAATGGTGATGACAAAAGGATTAAGAAATGATTACCATCGATAGACGAATGAGAGAAAAACTTGCTCACATCTTTCGACATAAGAACATTTAGACGAAAGACAGTAGAAAAGTTGTACAAATAAGTCACTCAATATGTCTACATAGCAATAGGAAATGTACTCCTCTTATTATCTGATATCTATTGGTATGCTATGGTCTTTATCAATGATAGATGCTAAGCAACGAGGTTTATTATAATTTTTAATTATTTAACTGTTATTTATGTTTGTTCTTTATATTTTCAGGCCAATCGCAACGTAATTTGGGCGATTTTTGCATTCCGGGTACATGTGCGAGCTTGAATTCCAATTGTAAACGTGTTGGAGAGACTGCTTTTCGATGCGTCTGTAAGGATCAATATTTATCTGTGAATAAAACTCATTGTGGTTCGTTGTATAATTTGAATTTGAAAAGAAAATTATCTTTGTTTACTATGAAAATTTAGTTAAAGTCATCAATGCATCTTCTGATTCGTCTTGTATTGCATGTATTGAACGGGGTGGTATTTGTTTAGATGAAGATTCTGATAATCACATGGACACATGTTTTTGTCAATTAGATACTGATTTATGTAATGAACGAACAACACTATCAATGATATCTACAACAGAATCAACAGAGAAACTGTATATTAATTTTTTGTTTTGCCTAGGAGCGTTAATGTATGAACTGACATGTTGTTTTAGTGTACCAATTGTAACGCCATTATTACCAAGTCGATCTGTTAGGCAAGGTGAACTGACACTTAGTTTACATGATATAAGCCAACGACGTTTAATTGATAATGGTGGTTCTGTTTTTATTGGTGATCGACTTGTCATTGAAATCAAATATCGAACAGGTTCGATGAAAGCATCTCTTGGCGAAATTTTTTTATCTATGTAATAATCTTCTTTTAAGCTGAACAAAATCCTGATCGGCATCAAATTATAGCAGAAAATTGTTCAATATCATCAAGTGTCTCAGATAATGAAATAAGATTAGAAAAAATTCCTCTCTTGACAAATCGTTGCCCATCATTAGATTCACGTTTACCCGTACGTTTTCAACGTATTGATCCAGATCATATTAAAAGTTCTATATTTCAAATGCATAAATTTGATACAACATCAATTGTTTATTTACGTTGTTCGATTGCCATATGTTACGGTCAGATAGAAAATTGTCAAGAAGTAAATTTATTCGTATTCTTACGTAAAAAAAGAAACATTGATTTTAACTATTTAGCGTTTATGTCCAGAAATACGACGATCACCAACATTACATCGTGGTCAAACAAGTATATTTAATTTATCATTAACATCGACAGTTGATTATGCTCCATTTGATTATGTTGATGAAGATGGTGCAAGCGTTATTGCATTACGACGACGACGAAAACGAGATGATAGTGATGGCGAACAAACAAAAAGAAACTTAGCGAGATTATTGTCTGACTTAAGTTGGTCGATGGATCACACATCATCGAACAAACTAGTTGATGAGAGTAATTCTGGTGGTCATTACGAAATACGACAAGTACAGCAACAAATAATTATTGAGCTACCATTACCTCAACCAGCAGAAAAAATTAAAATTGCTTATGGTAAATAAATTTTTCTTGAAATATTGTTTTTTTATTCATATTCTATAGAAGCTTTTTATGGTCGCACATCATCATCAGCAACTCAAAGCAGTGTCGAACGATCCACTGTTATCGCTACTATTTCAATTATCTTTATTATTGGCATATCAATATCATTGTTTGTTGTTTATCGAGCATGTTATTTTGACTATGCTCAACGGATATATGGTTCAGCATCGTTTGCTGGTTTTGGTAATGGTGCTGATTCAACGTATGCCGGCATAAGAAGTTCGTCACAAGTGTGTCGTTATGATATGGGACGTCGATCTGAACAACGCTTTGATGAAAGTCTTTTTGTAACTAATGTGGAACCAATAGGTGCTTATCGACGACAATGTTAGATTTATTTACTAATATTACTATTACTATTACTACTACTACTACTACTACTATTATTATTATTATTATTATTATTATTATTATTATTATTATTTATATGATATCGACAATCGAACATGACTGAAAACCTCGTTCTTTTGATGTTTATGCAAAATGTAAAAAGAAAAGACTTATTTGAATATTGTTGATAGATTTAAAATAAAATAAACAAAAGAAAAAGATACAGAAACTTTCATCAACAGTGTACATAAATTATCTTTTATTCCGATGAGAAATAACTATTTGTATTTATAACATCTATTTCTTCATTTTCGAACCATTCAAGAATTAAGAAATACATTTTTCTATTAATCAACTTACTAGTTTAACTTGTTGCTTTGAAGAGAAAATTAAGAAAAAACTTAATCAATGTTTTTTATAATTTTTCAAAGCTACTGCTGCTAAAGTCGATACTCATAGAATTACGCTAATCTATCTCTGGGATTTATTTTCTTATCAAAACAATTTTTAAAACGTAGTGATAATGAGATTTTCGGAGAATTCAAACTATCTAAATCAAATATGAAAAACGACCTGGAAATAACAGATGCATACATTGACATTTCAACCATTCAATAAACTAAACTAAATTACGAGTTAATAAGCAACAATTGCTTATAAAAATGATTTCTTTTTTGTAACTGTAATAATTTATAGTTTTCCCAATGTGTATTAAGCATAACTATAAGCATCAATCTAATACTTAAAAACAATGTACAACGTCTCTCTTTTCGCTGTATTTTTCTTCCGCGCTGTCAATGTTAAAATGAATAAATGATAGACGCACCAAGCAAACAGATAAGAAGTATTTTATCTTTTGAATTACACTTTACATTCAGTATTCGTCAACTTGGAGAAATCGTAGTTAATGTACGATTCATATTACATAAGTTGTAAATGAAACAGATATCAATATCAATAGTCAAGTAAATGTGTTCATCAATTCACTAAAACGACGAGTAAAGCTTTTCATTTATATTGAACACAATAAAAACAACTCAATTTGACGTTTAACTTCATCGAAGAGATATACATTTTAGTTAGTGTACGTTATTCTTTTGAAATCTTGTAGATAAATTGCTTTAGTCGAAATTTGTATCCATGTCATCAGCTTATGGGAAAATCGATCGACCAAAAGAATATGACTCATCGAAATTAGAATTATTACTGCCCATCGAAAGTTTAACTAAATCAAATGAACAAGTATCTGTTCATTCATTAATAACTATTCTAAAACAACTGGACGACGAATCAAAATTAATAGCTTATTTACAAACTTTGTTAAACAATGAAATTGATGCTGGAAATACTTATCCGCAAAAATATCCACTTAATTTAATCGAATTCAAAAATTACTTTTTATCTGGAGATGCTTTTATCGTTATTAAAAGTGGAAAAAACGTACCGATTGATTTTTCTAATGATCTTGAGAAAACAATTTTAGGTACATTCTATATCAAACCAAATTTTCCTGGTCGATGTTCTCACGTAATAATGAACATTTTCAGTTCTCATGTTAATCTATATTCTAATAATTTAGATTTGTAATGGAGGATTTATCACATCAGAAATGCATCGAAATCAAGGCATTGGTAAAATTATGGGAAAAGCCTTCATTGAAATTGTTCCATTATTAGGATATAGGGCTTCCATGTTTAATCTAGTATTTGCGAATAATGTACCTAGTGTTCGTCTTTGGAGATCATTAGGATTTCAAGAAATCGGGAGAGTTCCAAAAGCTGGTTATCTAATCAAGAAAAGCGAAGCGACAAAACAAGCAAATGCAGAATTAAAGGAAGAAGAAGAAGAAGAATTCGTCGATGCTATAATGTTTTACTATAGCTTTGTTTAAAGTATAATGTTCGATGCTGCTCTATTTTGTGGAAAAAAATATTGTGACGTACAACCGATGCATTGTACTAATTTCTTTTTTAATACAATCTATGAAATAATTTTATTGATTCAAATGTTTCTACTTTCTTTGATTTCAAGAAATTGAACTAAAAGAAAAATGTGAAGGTTTCGATTGATTTTTTGAAGTATTTGACTTGCTAAAAAGGTTGTCTGCAATAAATAGCGCCTTTAACTTATTCATAGATAGGAATTCAGTTAATTGATGACAGTGAAGTATTTTGATGTGCACAAATATTTCTTGCTTTCAAGAACATTAGACTTTGCTAATTAGGCAGAGTAAAAGATGCATCGTAATTTATGGATGAAAAAAAAATTTAATGGCGGACGACTAGTGTCCCTTTTGTTACGATAAAGCATTCAAAAAAATAAACATTCATAAGCGTGCAATAGATCATGGTAGCAAAAACAGAACACTTCTACACACTGATTGCCATTAGATGTAATATTTATTTTTGAACAAGCTGCTGGAGAGAAACATATGCTGTTAAAAAACCTATTAAGAAATTCACAGAAGTGTTTGTCTCTGATTTCTTTTTTTCACTCTCGTCATTCATGAGAAATATTAGATTTGAGAATAATTTTAAAACAATTTTTTCTTTTAAATATTCGATTGTAGACATACTACATAAACCGAACGCTAGTGCTCAACGCAACAGGATTTTATTGTAATTAAAAAAAGTTGCAATAATATGAAGCGATAGCTGTTGCTATGCTATTATGTGAGTGGTACTAATTTCACATAAAAAAACACTTTCACACTTCTATGGTGTCTTTAAATGGAGAACAGACAGACTGTCAATATGTGCTAGAACTGCAAACAATACATATTTTCATTAATATTCATAATTATTTGATAATAATGTATATTGACTATACATGAAATTTTGATTTTAGAATCTATGATAAAAAAAACTACCTCGTTTAATACTATTCGAAAATTCCCTACGAATGATTCGTTCTATAAGGTATCATTTGGACTCTGACTAAAAGACAAACAAATTGGTTGCTTAGAAAAATCTGCAAAATTCAACGTCCCTTATTAACACGCATTGGATGTTCTATGACAAAATATTGGATTATACATAATGGAAAAAAACACCTCCCATGTTCTCCATTCACACAATAAAACGATATAGTCTTTAGATATTGTTGGTGTCTTCGTTTTAAATTAAAGTTGAAAAGACTTCATTGAGAGTAATTTGTTTTTCCTTCACACAATAGGAAAATTACAAATTCAGTAGTATCATTTTTCTGATGCAATACTTGTAAAAGAAAATATGGTTCCAAATTTTTACCACATCAGATCAGGTTAGCATTGTTCCTATTACATATTAAACTAATCAAATCAAAATATTCATTGATTTTTACAGAAATATGTTTGATTTGTATTGTTTCTGAATCATTTTCAACATTTTGTTTTAACGTAAACCTTTCTCTTTCTTTCTTTTCTGTTTTGTTTCCAACACATTTTTCTTCTTTTTTTTCTAGGATTTATATTCCGTAAGAACAAACAACCTCATTTCAGTGTCCTCTATTGACAAGGTAACAAGACAAATATAAATGTCGAATAGTCGTCAATTTCTTGTTCCAGTTAATTATGATGTTACCAAAATTGTTTATTCAAACGATGACATGGTTCGTAAACGACAATATGTTATTGATGATTTAACTTCAACGAAACAGTTTTATCAAAAATATGTTAAATTGCATGCTAGCGAAGAAAACTTTGAATCAAAGTTCTACGCAGACAAACTACGACAACGAATAAAATACTAAACACTATTTTTCTCTTTCATTTATTGTGAGAAGCATTTTATTCTGTTCGTTTTTTATTCCACCGAATTACATTTTGCTTTCTCCGAGTCATAATAAATTGAAACTTGAATACATTGTGTTTATATGAAAATCACTTATGACGTACAATCCTAATTCTTACGTTAAATACATCACATTTCAATTACCTCAGTTCAGTTGGTAAGCAAATGGATATCGATCACAGAATCATTATCAGTACTGATAATAGCAACATATTCAACTATAAATAAATATATATAGGACTAATTCTTCTCCAAAATTATAGAAAATTAAGTGCTGAAAATTGTGAAACAGACACTAGAGACGACGATCGAACAGGTGAAATAATCAAAAATGATGGTTACACAACAATACTAATTGTTAAACTTTATCAATCACCATTATGAATAAGAAGATGATAGACACATCAAAAATTTGTTTTTTTATAGATATATAATTCTTGTAGGAAAAGTGTTTAATTAACCATAAGTAGATAGTAATTGTTAAAGTTTGATGTCTTGTTTCATATTTTATTCGCCTTAGTCATGTGTTTATCTAAAAAATTGTGCACAATAGCTCAATTGCTGTTTCGATATTTTTTACAAAGAGATCTTTGAGACTAGTTCATATGATTATACTTACAACTTCAACTCTTAAAGTGGAGTCTCTGCTTTTAATTTTTTCTATAGAGTTCCATAAGTTATTGACGAATAGCATTGTACTTTAGTCCCTATAGGCCGCGTTTGAGATTATAGATTGATGTCAACTGTAACAAAATCAAGAGCGTTTCAAGTGCTGCGAAAAAGAAATTTCAAATCAGTAGAAGAATCATTAAAATAATCAGGATTATTTCTCAAAGAAATGAAGATTGACCATTAATTCGATCTTTGATTTTCTATTCATTAATTTTGAAATCCTTGCTTTGTTTTTGAGGCAGCTTTTATACTCCTATAGTGATGATCACTATTTCCTTAGTTCGAATGAGAGTGACAACAAATATTTATTATTTTCTTTGTTTTACCATTCATAAAACTGTAGCGGAACAGTTTCAAAATTTACACTCGTCTGACCTTCAAATATCCTAAATACTGTACAGGCATTTTTCGGTCTCAAGCGAAAGTGAAGAGTAATAATTAAGAACGCTCGGTCATTCACTAGTCTATTAAAATAAATAATATTCTATGGTGAATTTTGAATATTCAATGCATTTTTTAAAACACTAATACATATTAACAACATTATAACTGTAATTTAAGTCTCGAAGCTTTATACATATAATTAGCTCTCATGAGCTTTATGTTAAAAAGATTGCATAACAAAGAACTGTTATCCATACTACAATCTATTACAGAATGTTTTTAAAAACAAAAAGAACAAGATTTATATTTATATTGCTAACGTGAATACAAGAAACCAAAACATCAATCAATTGCAAGACAAAAGATATAAAATGCGATACACATTAACGCAAAGACGGCTAGATTACGAAAGCAATATGAAATATACAAACACAGAAAAGGCTTCAAAACAAAAATTTGAAACTATCAAAATTACACGTCCCATTCTCACTCGGTTTTAATAAATACAAGTAGAGATAGATACATAGAGAAAACAATCAATGACCAGATCTATTTTATGTACGTGTAAGTAAATTGTCTTCATAAAATTTGAGTAAAAATATTTGTGGAGCATATTTTTGATATAAATATTCACCAAGCTCAGTAATCATTTCATTCTTTGAATAATTAAAGAAAATAAATTTTATATTAATACTTCATATTTTTCTTACTTTCATTTGTGCTTGACTGACATTTTCAAGTATGTTTAAAACACGTTGTAGTTTCTCTGGGCTGATTTCTTTAAGACAATCCCTACAAATTCAATATATATATATATTTATATATTTATCATTGATAAAGTTTCATTCATTGCTTTTCAGAATAATTCTATTAAGATGCAAGCTCGAACTCCGTGAGACACTCACTGATAAACTAGCACTGAATGTCATAGATTAATATCTGATGAAATCAACACATTGTTCTAGTTGAGTCCGATATGTTCTGTCATGATAGTCATTTCAAATTAAGCCAGCAAGAAAGCAAAATAAGGCAGATTCCTTGCTTTTTTGTATTAACGCTAGGAGTAAACTTAGTATATGTGGCGTTCTTTGAAATTGAAGTCAATTGATATTCACGAAACATATAATTAATAGTACTGCTTATGAGTTTGTTTGTTATACTTATAGTATAGTAATGGTCAAATAGATCCACAAAGGACATATGAGCTAACGTGAGTAGATCGATGAGGATATGCACGGTCACGAGATATTTTCAAGAATAATTTGAATAATTATTTTTCAATACATTTTTCTAGTGATAGAACTTTCATATTCTCTGCCTAGAAGGTGATTACTTGATTTACTATGCACAACATACTAAGAAACTAGGTCTTTCAATTTATTAGTTTCTTTTTTAGTAGAGATCATATACATCGTGAATAAAAACCAAATCGATTATGAATAATCATCGAAGATTTTGTGTGACGAGCTTATTCTAACGACGATGGGACATTTTCGAGGTACTTTTATCACAGTATTTTCACACATAAAAGCTAACCGATTTAACTGATCGTTGGATTTTCACATTTCGTTAAGATCTTTATATTATGTATGGCCTAGATAGAAGTTTGATTCGTCAATTCAGAAAATTTTCTTATAATTTTGGATGATATCGCTCATTAAATTCTATTCAGAGACGTAAGTTAGCTCTATCTTACTCTTTTAGTGCTTTGCAACGTTTATGAAGATGATTCGTTTGATGCAATGGGCTTTCCATTGTTCGATCACCAGATGGCCATGGCCTTGAAACTACTGATTAAAAATAAAATATTTACTTATTACTTTGAACATGTTCAATAACATTACTCTGTTCATCAGATGATGAATGAGAATAGCCGTTCTCATCAACAATTGTTTTATCACTATCATTACTACTATTGGTGAATTCATTTGGATCGGGTCCAGAATCTTGTACATTTTCTGATGGTGTTGGCAGTAATTTCAATGTAGCAGTTAACATAAAAATTAAATCATTTATATCTTTTTCTCTGAAAATAAAAGATACATGAATTAAAATCTATTTGAAAATAGTTTAATATCGAATACCCTTCTTTTTTCTTTTCATTTTCAATTGAGATTGAATCTTGCGATGTTGAATGTGATAATTCATGATTACTATTATTTGGTGTTATTTGGCTTGCTGATTCAATTGATGATTGCATGCGACTATCACGACGACGTTGACGCGCACTTGCTTTTACCGCATTATTATTTGAATCGTAAGATTTTGTAATTTTTAATGGTATTTGTTGTTGTTGCTGTTGAGGATTTATATTTGTTTCACGTTCATAAGAATAACCATCATCATCAAATGATAATTTACTAGGATTCGATTCGATAGATGATCCTGATGAACTTGGTCTTACTGGTCGTTTTGGTTGAACAACAACCTAGTTACCAAAAGAAATTACATAAAATTAAAATTCAGAACAGAAATAAAGAGAAGAAACATTTACAATAACTGGCTGTGAAGGATTGGCCTTCGATAATATTTCATGTTCATCATCGGATGATCCTTGATGATATTGTTTCAAATGATTATTTATCTGTTGATCACGTTGTCGACGTTTTAGTGTATCATTCTGACTGAGATTTGAGAGGAAATTCATATCCATTTGTTGCTCATTGATTGGCAATGGACTACTTAAATGAACGCGATGACGGCGGCGAGCACGTGCATCATTCAATTGATTAACGTCACCCGATGGTAATGATCGACTAGCATCGGCTGAAGAGGATGAACCTGATGATGATGTTGCGATATTATTTGATGGACGATTGTGTGAAGGTGGTAATGGCGGATAAGACGGAAGCACAGAAGCATGATGATTCGAAAATCGAGATTTTTGAGATTTTTTCGATGATGGTGAACTCGCTGAGGAATGCGGTAATTTGGCATCGTTTGATAAAGATGGAATAGGAGCATTGTTGACGGGGGTAGATGGCGAAGATGAAGGTGGAGGTGTTGCAGAAGAAGAACGCGAAAAGGGAGTCGGTAGTGGTTCGACAACTGCTATTGAAGTATTCGAATTGGTATGATTTTGACACCTGATATGTAAAAATATTAATGTAAAATGAAATGAAATAAAATATAAATATCATTCGTGATTACACAGCAAGCAATCCTACTAGGATCTTTCATTTAAGTTTAAATTACATACACATGAAGCTCTGTGCAAGTGTAGACATTATTTGAAATAGGTCTTGCACAGAAAACGGGGCTTTAAAAGCTATCTTAGATTTTTAATCTAAAATTGACTACTAAGTCTAATAATCTTTAGAATATCCTGAAAATTTGAAACGAAAATATTATTTCTTTATCAAGATATTAAATCTGTAACATATTATCACTTGCGACAACTATCTCAAAAAAATTAGTTTTAGTGAGATATTCAAGATGTTGACAAAGGTTTCATGTTTTCGATTAAAATTTTAATAATATTCTAGAAGTTCTGAGTACAATCTCTCGACAAATCTATTAGGATACTCATATCTCGACGTCAGACACTCATGGGTAGGAGCCATTTTAGATTTATTCTAGGCTTACAGAGACTATCTCGTGGACTTAATATAAACTTAAACGAGGAGACATAATTCAAGAATTTCTTAACACGAACAAGTATTCGTCGACGATGTATATAGTTAATATCATTCATAGTACAACAAAAACAAGTTAAATATTTTTGAATTGCTCTACAAACATAACGAGGATTTCATGGTTGAATCTAGTTATACACTCGAGATTAAGAGCAGTTTCTTTTTTTTTATCAACATTTGCTTTCTTACTTATCCTTAGTTTTTTCTAATAATCGCATAATATGTCGTTTGATATAAGGATTTTGTAGAATCTTTTTTGCTGTTGGACGATTATCTGGATTTTTACTGAGCATCAATTTAATCAAAGCTGTTAATGGTTCACTATATCTTTTTGATGTTTGTGGTATCTAAATTTTAACAGGAATAAAAAATAAACAAAATAATAGAACCAGATGAATACAATAAAATCTTACTTGTCCACGAATTATTTTTAACATAAGTGAATTCATATCTTTTGCATTGAATGCATGTTCAAGTGTTGTCATTTCATAAACACAACAGCCAAGTGCCCAAATATCAGACTAAAAATAAATATCTTTAATAAATTAAAATTTTTCTAATTAAAACAAAATGCTCAAACCTTTTGTCCATATGGCTTGTTAGAAAATATTTCTGGACTCATATAATATGGTGTTCCGATAATTGTTGTTGCTAAATCATTTCCCGATTCTAATACTCTTGCAATTCCTAGATCTCCAACTTTAACGATTTCATTTTTAGTTAAAAATATATTTTGAGTTTTCAAATCTCGATGTAAAATACTTTTATCATGCATATACTAAATAAAATTTGAAAAAAAAAGTAAAAATGATTCATAATCTGTTTCTATTTTTCTATGGAAATTTTATTATTTACTTGTAAAGCCATACAAATCTGTACAAACCATTCAACAATCTGATTTTCGGTTAGTGGTTGTTTATTGGCTTTCCTTTCTTTTAATTTTGTATATAAATCTCCACCTTCACAATATGCCATGACTATATTGAGAAAACCATCATTTGAACGAAATGATTCAGTATAAGCAACAATATTTGGATGTTTTAATGTTGATAATAGTTTAGCTTCACGTTCAGCACTTTCTATGTCATTTTGTGTTGTTTCATTTGATTGTAGACGAAGATCTAATCGTTTAAGTACATATTGTTTTGTGCTAGATTTGGATGATGTAGAATGACGTAACGGTAGAACAAGCCATACCTCGCCGTAACTACCTTTGCCAATTTGTTTAAGAAATTTATATTTATCATTAACATCAATTTCATTAATATGTAGTGCAGGTTCTGATCGATTTATGAGTTTCATCATTTTTTCCAAATTTAATTAGCAAGCTTGTTGTATTGATTATATTTGAAAACTGTACTAGACAGAGTAAAACACGTGCATTTAAAAGTTGTAGAAAATGTGTACAACATGCGGGGGTGATGACGATTCATCGATCGTTCATACCAAATTCTTGTAGTCTTAGTTACTTGATACGCATGAATCATGACAGGACATGTGAAAATTTACTAAATAAATAATATTTAAAAACAATTAATGACTTTCAGATAGACTTATAGAATCGATCATTTTTCAAAAGTAAAAAAAAAGGTAACAATAGATGTCACAAGTTACAGGAACAATTAGTATTACTTTCAATCACTTATTTTGAACTGGACAAGCCTGTCACCAAACTAAATTATAAACAGCGAGACTCTTATAATGAAATCAATTCATTGAGAAACTTACACTGAAATAGAAAGCATTTATATATTCACTAGCTAGATTATCTTGAAAAACAATAGCAGTGATATGATTTTGAACCAGTAGTGCCAGATATATTTTCTAGCTTGATTGATTGAGTGAGTAGTTACCGTAGTTTCATCATTTTGATTTACAAAGAAAAGGTTCTTATGATGTAAAAACTACTACGATATTATTTTGTATTGTACAGCATGGGTATACTATGTGTGCGCGTGTACGTGTGGGAATGAGACTGACTGTGTCACTGTTTGCTAATCAATTTCAATTTTCAGAACACGGGCAACCTCTCGTAGACTCACATCAAGTAGGAACAGCGATACTTCAGGAGTACACACTCAGACCCTTTTTCCGTGAATAAGATCTTTTACTTGCTGCATTTTCTATAAAATGAAAACTTAATAGAGAATATTTATCGACTGAATACCATGAAGATTTCAAGTTTACCAGTAAATAATTGAAGATCTCGGATCTAGATGATGGTATTAAAATATAATTTCATAACTTAAGAGTTCTTGAGAGAATTTATGATTGATATTCATATAGAAAGAGTTTGTTCATTAAAATTTTTCATTCGATTGATATATATTCGCTTTCTTCAACCACCATACTCATATTTTATAGTGAAAAAAACAGAGTACTAATCGAATTAAAACCGTCTTTTTAGTTTAATCACTTATATTGTGATATCATTCGACAAGTATTACTAACTATCCTCTAACATCCAGTTTGTAGAACAGCGTGTTGAGTATCAAGCGTTGATGGTGTAACGGTTAGCATGGTTGCCTTCCAAGCAGCCGACCCGGGTTCGACTCCCGGTCAACGCACTGTTCTCTTTTTTTTTCTTTTTATTTAGAAATTTATAATTCATGCACTGTAAGCAAAATCTACGAAATTTATTATATCCACGAGTCAGTTTTTCAAATGTTATTACGATTATAAAGTCGAGCAGCTCCTTGTATTGTTTCCCATTGTTGTCTTGATTGTCGTAATGACATCTACAATAAAAATAAGTAAACCTTTCCTTTATCTATATACTTTTCAATGGATTCTTACTGAAACAAGTTCAACTTTTCTTTGCCAAACTTGACAATCACGTTGAAGATTAGAAAGTAAAGATTTCTTTCTAACATAATCTAATATTTCTGGTACTTGATAGTTTTCGATTTGAGAGACTAGATTGCTATGGGTTTTTGCAACATGATATTGCTCATTATTAACCGCAACTATTTCTTTTTCAGCATATTCATGTAAATGATCTTGTTTATTAATACGTTTTTCAATATCAATTAGATCTACAGTACTTGTATGTAAGTTATCTTTATAATGATTAAGTAATTGTGTAACTTTTGCAACTTGCCGTTTTAATAGAACAAGTTCAACATTTTTTTCGTCGATTTTGTCTAAGTATTGTTTATTTTCAATTTTCAATTGATTGAAATCGACTTCATGTAATGTTTCTCCCATTTCTTCTTTTTGTTTTAATTGAGAATCTAAACGTACGATTTGTTTTCTTAAACCACCTGAACGATCACGTAATTTATTTGTTGTTGATTCACGTGCTTGAAGATGTTCATGAAAATAACGACTCATTTTTTCACCAATTACTTTCCGTGTACGTTTATCGATTGAAGATTCTTTTAGTTTGAGTAGTTCCGTTATAGCCAGTTGAAAATCTTCCAATTCAACATCAATCCATTCAATATCAGACTAAATAAAAAGGATTTTGAATTCATTGCAAAAAGAATAAAATAAAATCAAACTTCAGATTGATCAGTATTCCTTTCATTGACTGTATTGCGGCGAAGTGCTTCAGTTTTGATTTGTTCATATTCCGATGCAACAATAGCAAGTTTTTGTTCCAATGTTAGTCTTATACGTATATCACTTTGTGTACTTCGTGATTTCGATTGTTTACGCGCAAGACGCTCAACTCGACCTGTTGCATTAGTATTGGATGAATCTTGATACGAACCAATTGGTGTTGTTGCTTGTGATGAACTAACGGGCGTTAAGAGCGATGACGATTGAGGAATTAAAAACTCAGATTTTTTTCTCTCCACAGCCGCTTCAAAGATAGTGTTTTCAAATTTTAATTCAATTATTTCACGTCTAAATAAAAACATGTATTGCATTTTTATTGTAATGTGATAAAAAAATAAGTAAACACAACTAAATATGCGTACTCGCATTTTTCTAAGTGTTGTTGAAGTTCAAAGGTCTCATTATCATCAAAAACAGTAGCACTACGACAATGAACAGATGATGCTTCACTAACAAGTGACTTTGCGTCAAACATGTTGTTCTGAAAATTTTATAGCATCAATTGAAGTCAAAGAACATTCAATCAAATCGCTAACAAGAAAAAAGTTGTAACTGTCGATGATTGCCTCTTTTCAAAAAACAATTACCGGTGTAGAAAGAAAGAAGGAATGTCGTCAACAACATTAAAAATAAAACAATACTACGACTTTTAACTGTCGGATGGGCATTTATTAAACTAACTATCAATATTGCCCAACTCTTCATTCATCAATATATTCATTTATAATACTAAGTTCGTTCACAAAAGAAAAAAACTATACGATCAGATTAACATTTTCTGATATCGAGTATTGTTCATATTGGTATTTAAAATTCAACATAAATTTTTGTGACCACAAAAGTCTTTAGTTATACAAATTAATATACTGTCATATTGGGTTCATAGAACAATGGTCTCTTCAATAGAAACTAGAGAGAACATTTAAATATCTATATGATTTACTTTGCGTCATAGTTTAGAACATTAGCGGAATGGTAGAGTACGCACGATGATAAACACTGAAGGGCACACTTAGAAATTAATGTTCGTCACACATGTGAGCATTATTTTGAAAACAAAACAGCATGACGAATGATCGATTCAAAGTTATTTGCATAAGCACGCTTTAAAAAAGTTCTTTTTTGTTCATTAAAAAATATCATTTTACAACGACAATTTTATTTTAATAGACTAGAAACAGGCGTCTACTTACTTCTAAACAGTGAATCTGTTTCATGAATATGTTTTCTATTTGAGAAATGTTCACTGCATTGGTCCAAACAATTGTTCCGCATTTGTATCTTCTTGTGTTCGATGACTCTAGAGCCATTGTTCCTTATTCATGTCAACTGTCAAGTTCCATGACTAGGATCTTTTTTAAATGATGAATAGCCAACTCTGAAAGTTCATAGAAGAAATTTCATCGCTAGAAGCTGTGTCGTCTGTGAAATAAATATCGTTTAATTGGTTCATTATGACATTTATCAATCTATATTTTCAAAGAGTACACTAGAATCAATGTTAATACATAATTATTTTGATAGCAAATCAATTTTAGACAAATCTTTGTAAATTTCATGGCAATGGAAAAGCTAAATCTGTGCAATAGTTTCAAAAGGAGAGAAGTATCCTAACACTATTTATCGAAGTCTGTTTATATCTTACACAACCAAATATTATGTTGTGGTCATACTGATGACTGATGTTTGATAGTGTTAGGACAGTAGTATCATGCTTTAACTTCAATTAAATATTGTATTTAGCTGTAGTACAGTAAATGGACACGAGAAATTCAAGCATGAAAATGTTTCTATCAAATTTTTTCTCTTGGGCTACCTTACGCATTTATGCAAAAATAGATTTGATTAGAAAAGCCTTTAGGCTATGTAAATCAAGTTCTCAGTTTACAGACAAACAACACACGCGACTAAACAATAATACATAATGGTTTTGAATGCATTTATTCTTTTCACAAATTCTTGAAGGAATGAAGTAGTGAGAATATGGAAGGAGGAAAAGTCGCAGAAATAGTTTGAAATATACATAAGTTAACTGCTTAGTTTCGAATCTTGACGCCAAATACAAATTCATTTCAATTGAAGCCGAATCATGTGATATCAAGACGTATGAACTTCAGATTTTCTTATGAGGTCCTACTATTTTAACTATTAAAATTAACAAATGCTTTTGTAATTGAAAAATACGATGAATGCTTTATTAAATGAATGCGTACTCCTGATATCAATGCACATGAAAATAATTGAAAATTTGTTTACATTGAATTGATTACGTGTCTATCATATGAAGATTCATATTGTTGGTCAATATCATGGAATAACTCTTCTATTGAATATTTCATCAACGTTATAACCTTCGTTTACCTCTACAATTCGACTGTCACGAGGTCGTCACAGTATTCGATTTAGTGTATACATGATTCAATTCAAGAACTGAATATTGATTGCTTTTTATAGTCCGGGAAATTGTTCTAATACATAATACTGTGCCATCTGAATGTGTCCCTACTACATTTCAGTTACACAAAACTTATTGTAGCAAACTAAAATCGTCTGTGTCATGGAAAAGTAGATGTCATCATGTGTCAATAAGAACTTCGATCAAATGTGCCCATTGTCCTCTATGATAAATTAAAGTCCATTTTTTTCCTTAAAATTATTACGATAAAAAACACATAAAAACAATCGAAACACATTTTGAAATAAAGCAGATGATCAAATTCATATATCCTTCATTAGTTGTAAATACCACCAATAGGCTTGAACAAATTTTTCTTCTATTTTATTTTTATTTCTATCATTGGATTTGAGTTATTATTATTGTTTATATATTGAGTATGATTACATTTTGACTTCTTTTTTCCATCTATCTATAATCTTCAAAGTGATTGTCATCATCATAATTTGCTTTGAAAATTTTAGATCACTCCCGAGACCATAAAACTATGGCTACCACAACTAATGTCTCAAAAAAAAGAAAAGTAAATTTGTAAAATGAATGCACTTCATAGTATCAGTTTTTTTCTTTCTTTTTCTAAACGACTTTAGTTTATTCGTGAAGGTGTTTTTCATGCTGAACTTAATGAGTTTTTCATACGTGAATTAGCCGAAGATGGTTATTCGGGGCTTGAAATTCGTGTAACACCACAACGTACAGAAATTATTATTATGGCAACAAAAACTCAGCAAGTACTGGGTGAAAAAGGTCGCCGTATTCGAGAATTAACATCGGTTATTGAAAAACGCTTTGGTTATCCTGAAAATTCCATCGAATTATTTGCTCAAAAAGTCGTCACTCGCGGCTTATGTGCTATAGCTCAAGCTGAATCATTACGTTACAAACTTATGGGTGGTCTTCCAGTTCGACGGTAAATTTCATTAAGAAAAAATTAAAGAGGAAAAAAATAGTTGTCTTTCATCCTAGAGCTTGCTATGGTGTCCTACGTTTCATTATGGAATCAGGTGCTCAAGGCTGTGAAATTATTGTTTCTGGTAAACTACGTGGTCAACGTGCCAAAGCTATGAAATTTATTGATGGTTTAATGATTCACTCGGGCAATCCTGTTAATGATTATGTACAATATGCTGTACGACATGTTTTACTTCGTCAAGGTGTACTTGGTATTAAAGTTAAAATCATGTTACCACATGATCCCAAAGAAGGCAAAGGTGTTAAAAAACCGTTACCTGATCATATTCATATCGTTCAACCAAAAGATGAATCACCTATTGCGCAACCATATTCCGAACCAAAAGAGAAAAAACTTGAACCAGTAAGAAATAAAAATGTTTTCGTTTTTCTTTGAAAATTAATTTTCTTGTTTTTAGTTAACTCAACAATTGGTTAATCCACAACAATTGCCACCTCAACAACAAGCCCAACTACAGCCAGGAGCACCAAGCAATCTTGCTTATCAATAAGAAAAAACGAATACCGAATGGTCATACAAAGAAGAAGTTCTGTTTTGTTCCATCATTATTTTTGCTTGTTTGTTCTTGCTTTTAGGCTTTGTAGCCATGTTAAGCAGTGAATAAAGAAAAGATAAACATTTATAAATATGAATTCAAATCGTACAATGATTTGAAAAAAAACAACTGATGTGTTTTGAAAATCTATATCAAATTTTCTTTTTAAAATTTTCAATACGTCAATTTTATCGAAGTATTTTTCCAATTAGTCAAACTAAATTCGATTAATTAAGTCATATTCCTGAGATGTACAACAAAGCATACTAATATATCAAACCGAATTCTAATTTGGCAGTTTCCTGAGAAGATTGCAACATTTCGAGAAGTACGGTTAAATTCAATACATTTGATTGCTGTTCATTAATTTTCGGATGTTCACATCGATATTTATGTATGTACATTAGTAAAATCCTTTTATATACATATATGCGTTATCAATATTCTAGTCTAATGAGTTTTTTGTTCCACCTTCTTCTGTAACTATTGTTGAGTCGTTCTACCGATTATTATCTTGATTTTAATGAATTTCTGTTTTTAAAGAAAATTCCTTATGAGTAGATACTAAAGTGAACGAACTATGGAGGATTCGTATAACTCTAGTTTTTAAAAATTACTGTATCAATCAGTAATTCAAATTGATAATATTGAAAAAGATACTTAAGTCCGAGAATATACACGTCAAATTAAGTAACAGCAACTGAAATTGGACATAATTTATATTTTTTGTATTGATATATAGTAAACAACCTATAGAATAACGTATTCGATAAAAGTGACATGTTTTGCACATGAGATTTTTCATTGAAGCATGACGAGAGACAACAAAATAAACATCATTCGAATGAAGTGAATATTAAAATGCTAGCAACAGTTATTCTTGTAGGTACGTTTGATACAAAAGGTGCTGAATATGATTTTGTTCGAACACAGATCGATGAGATTGGTACATGTTCCATATGCCTCATTGATGTTGGTCTTCAATCAAATAGTAAAACATTACCAATTGCTGATATTTCATCAATGACGGTTTTCAAAGCTGCTGGAGGCGACTGCAAGGCACTAGAGAAACATGAAATCCAAAAATCTGAAGCATTTCATTTAATGACAAAAGGTCTTACATTAAAATTAAATGAACTTTATGAATCGAATTGTCTACATGGCATTCTTGCTTTGGGAGGTTCATGTGGTACGTCAATCGTATCTGAAGCTATACAACAATCAAAAATACTACCGATCGGTTTACCTAAATTAATTGTATCAACGGTAGCTGGAGCAAGTAATGCTCATACAGCTGTTGGTTTAAGTGATGTGACTTTAATGCATTCTGTCACTGATATTAGTGGTGGAATTAATCGTATTAATGAACCTATTTTAGCGAATGCAGCTGTTGCAATAGCTGCCATGGCTTGTCGCTTTCATTCATCTGTAATTCAATCAAAAGAAGCAAAATGCGATGAACCACCTTTAGTTGCTCTTACCATGTTTGGCGTAACAACACCATGTGTCATGGAAGCGAAGAAACAACTCGAAGAACTTGGGTATAATACTGTCATTTTTCATGCTACAGGAACAGGTGGTCAAATTATGGAACGTTTAATTGAATCTGGCTTGATTACTGGTATTCTTGATATTACAACAACCGAATTAGCTGATGAACTTGTAGGTGGTATACTTTCAGCAGGTTCAGAGCGATTAGAAATGGCCGGGCGAAAAGGTCTACCGCAAGTAATTTCACTTGGAGCACTTGATATGGTTAATTTTGGTCCTCGCCATACAGTACCAAAACAATTTAGTGAGAACCGTTTGTTATATGAACATAATTCTCAAGTAACATTAATGAGAACAACAAGCGATGAATGTACTCAATTAGGTGAGATTATTGCTCAGAAACTTAATCGACACTGTGGATCACATAGAGTATGTGTATTTGTTCCTCGTGGCGGAGTTTCTTTAATATCAGGTATTGATCTTTGATTTTTCACAGTAAAACTTTACTTACTGCTACGTATCAATGACTATTTAGTTGATGATGGCCCATTTTTTGATAAACAAGCGGACAAATGCCTTATTGAAGCATTACATAAACATGTGGATACAACAAAAGTTGAGATTATTGAACGAAATGAATCAATCAATGATCCAGCATTTGCACATGCTATGGTTCAAGCATTACATGCTCAAATGCAGTACAAACCACTCTATAAAATTCATGCTACTGAATCGATTTCGGCGAAAAGGATGACAAAACCACGAAACCGTCGTGAATGTCTAGATCGACTGAAATCTGTCATAGAAGAAGGTCGGATTATAATTGGTTCAGGAGCTGGAATCGGTTTATCAGCAAAATGTATTGAAGAAGGTGGCGCTGATCTTCTTATAATTTATAATTCAGGACGATATCGTATGGCTGGTAGAGGCTCATGTGCTGGTCTTCTCTCTTATAGTGACGCCAATGCCGTTGTTCTTGAAATGGCTGGTGAAATATTACCTGTCGTACGACATACGCCTGTTCTTGCAGGCGTTTGTGGCACTGATCCGTTTCGACTGATGCCTCAATTTTTAAAACAAATTAAAGAAACCGGCTTTATAGGAGTACAGAATTTTCCTACTGTTGGCCTTATTGATGGTCATTTTCGACAGAGTCTTGAAGAAACTGGCATGGCTTATGAACAAGAAGTTGAAATGATTCGGCAAGCTCATCTGATTGGTTTAGTTACTGCACCATATGTATTCAACGAAGAAGAAGCTCGACTGATGACAAAAGCTGGTGCAGATATTATTGTTGCACATATGGGTGTTACAACTAAAGGTGCTATTGGAGCTAAATCTTCATTAACATTAGATGAATGTATCGAACGTATTCAATCTATTCATGATGTTTGTATTCAAATTAATCCTCAAGTTATTGTTCTCTGTCATGGTGGTCCATTAGCTGAACCAAATGATGTGCAATATATTCTTGCACGAACACATGGTATTCAAGGTTTCTTTGGTGCATCGAGTATGGAACGATTACCAACAGAAATTGCATTGGTAGAAAATACAAAACGTTTTAAAGAATTACAACTCTCGAAACAGAACTAAATTTATTTATGCACAGAATATTTGTCTTTGAATTTTTTAAGTAAACAGTTCGATGCAGTACTATATTAGAAACTAACATTTTGTATACAGTCGATTTTCATCACTGTTTTTTACAATTACTTCTAGATTTCGAAAAGATTATAATGATTAATACATTCAAAACAATAAAAACAAAAAAGAAACATTGCTCATTTAAAATGATGTACTGTCGAAAGACTCTGAATAGATGATCAAAAATATTATCTTGAAGTTTTTAAGTAAGGGAACATACAAGAGTGATACAATCTGTAAGAGTTTCAGCGAGACACAGCAATAATAATATATTAAATATATAATAGCAGAGTTTTTGAATTCATGAAAACAAAAATTCGTTCTCTCATTAAGAATTGTGATAAATTAATGTCTCTTCGTTGGTCTAATTTGAAATTGATGAAATGTTGGATGCTGTGTTAGATTTACTTTAGTAATATTCATTGTGCTCTTCTTTAAATTCATAATTAAAGAACAAACAGTTCCAATAGAACCGAAACTTGTTGGCTTATATGATCATTATTATTTGTATACAAGAAAAATTATTCGTATGATCGTTTAGAATACGGATTTTGTTACAAGATAATCACACAATAAATAAAAAATCTACTTTCATAGATTTGACTTCGATTAAATATTTCAAACAAAACTTTTTTTATTAGAATTAATACTGTACAAAAGAAGGATAATATTCAAATATATGTGATATTAAATCTGTTCCTAATGATATTCTAGTATGGGAAATTAATTCATTTTTTACTATAGACAATATTTAAGAATATTGCATGATGATTAATCATTATTTTTATTCGTTTCTTTACTAATAAGATGAATTTACAATTTTAACACATGCACCTATACATGTAGTATTTTTAAAGTACAAGTCAATGCATTAATCGATGAGAATAACTGAAAATTGTTGCTAGTCGTTTTTAAATGTTAGTGCCATAAAATTTTGAAGTAGAAAGAGGGAATAAATGATGATGGAGAACTTTATGATAAGAAATCAAACGATAAATATCCTGCAAACTGATCCTTGAAATTGTCGAGAATGTTCCAAAATTTATAATCTATTTTTATTTCACAGCTGCATATATTACTTTAACTTCTACTACGTTGTTAAAGTTTTTTTAGAGTTAAAGTGACATAACTGAAATTTCTAGTATTACTATCTACAAAGTATAACGACTCAGCTGATCGGTTTACACTTTTATTTATGATCCAATGACAGTATCAGTGTGACGCTACGATGTAACAGTCTATTCTAATGGCATACGCTTGCATCACACAACTTTTCCTTCTTTTCTTAACATGAATACATTCGTCATGTATATGTACATAACATACGTCAAAAATAATACTAGCTAGTTTCACATATTTTGAATTATTTTTTTTCTGTTTTTGCTATATGTTCTCGTTGCCCTTCTTTCCGAGAATAAATAGCATTTCTTTCGTTACATAGAATAGTTGTTTCACAATAAAAATTTTCTTATTACCATCTATTCTTCTGTTCAACTATATAAATAGGTAAGATCTTTACACGAATGCTTCGTGTTTTACCGTCAAAGTAATGCGTGCGTGAGAAACTAGTTTTTTTCCTCAAATAGTTTTGAAACAAGAATATAATATCGTGTTGTTCTTTTAATCTGATCAAAATAGAAAATATCGCGAAACTGAGAACGAAAATATCAAATTGTGCTTATTGTTTTCGAGAAGTCACAAATTTACAAGTAAAAAATATTAAAATAAAGCTCCCTGTCGATATGGTTTGTTAGAATCGTTTGATAGTTAAACAACACTATGCCGCTAATTTTCGTCTATGATAGTCTTTGCTAACTTGTCTACTATCTATTAACAATAAAATAAGTATAAAGTCTTTATCATAGGTAACTATGAAAGCTATTAAAGATAACTGCGAACGAATTATCTGCTATAATTAACACGATTTCGTTTATTTAACATAGAATAAAACTAGCCATATGAAACAACTTGATAATGGGTTTGCACTTGTCTGTGATGAAAATATTGAAAGAATAGTTTTAGAGCTTATAGAGTTCATTTTCTCAAAGAATCTTGAATCAATCTAAAATGTACAGTGGCTACTAATTATTCAATAAGGTTTATTTTCAATTTTTCCTGCTGTAGCAAACTTTAATAAGAATGCAAATATAGTAATTTGTATAGAGAATTCTTCAAGATAAAGATCATTAATAGTTATCAAACAATAAGATTTCTTAAAAATTAGAAACAGAATTTTTCAGCACCTATAATTTGAATATAAAATTCTGGTTGAATAAATTCGTGAATCTTTGTTTAGTTTACGATCAAACTTTATTCTTGCTACTCAGATAGATTTATAAAAAGAACTGAAACGAGTTTCCGTTGATTTCAACGAGTGGCGATTAGAACTCATTCGAAGCAAACACCTAATAAAAGAAATTTTCATTTGAAAATTCAGACATTTCTTGATCTAATTAATAATTCGTTCCCAGAACGAACAATCCGATAGCTGGATTCAACCGGATTCTATCGGATTTCGATAGGTTCTTAAAGGATTCTAAATAAATCTGGGTTGTGGGCCCACTCACGGATCCCTAGCCTACCCAGGTGAAAGAAAATGGCCTGAAACGGCATAAAAACGATGTAAAACGTTAAAAAACGGCGCCGTTTTCCGTCAGCTCGGAAAACGAAGAGAATAGTGTTAAAAGCGATGGCCGTTTTCTAGCAAAAAACACGGCCCGTAAAACGAGCTGACGGATTACGCGAAATAGGGTAAAAATTAATGCCGTTTTATAGACGTAGGTAATGTTAGCACCAGATTCGCGTATTTCGCATCCGGATTCGCATACTGCGCTGTGCTGGCTCTCTCACTCGTTGTGCTGGGTTCAGAATTTTGAGCTCTATCGAACAGTAACAGTTTCAGGCGGTTCTAAAGTAAAACCTGCGGAGCCTCATCAAAATACTGCTTTTCCTCCCATGTAACGGTTTCACAGTATTAATATNGGTGTCAGTTTAACATGCGATCGCCAGGCCAAAAATCAGCGTTTTCGTCGTAATACTAGCACAAAAACGTGTTTTTCGGCGAATAACTTGTCAGGATTCGCCTATACACCTGTGCTGAGTCTCTACTTCCTCCCAATCGATGCAGAATTTTGAGCTCTATCTAATAGTAGGTGATTTATATAGGATAGTCCGCTAAAAATCGAGTTTCAAAGGAAAAAATGAATTTGACTCCAATGCAATCACCCTACAACATTCATCCATCTGCCAGCATTCGATTGTGCACATCGGCGGTTCCCCTACTTGATTGTGCTGGATTCGGAATTTTGAGCTCTATCTGCCGATGTCGGTTACAGGGGAAATCGTCTATCTAGGACGAGGTTTTCC